ACGTACGCTAAGACATTTCTGACGGATCGCACAGTTTTATGACCTCAATACCTGTTTGGCAGCATCAGGAAACTGCTGCTGTACACGACTACTGAAATACTAAGACGGACAGGTATCACAGCGTCAGCCGAGACTAACTATACTCTGGTAAGTATGGTATACTTGAACATCCAACCAACTAATGATCAAAACAGTAACCTTAGAAAAGAACGTGAATGGTTCTATCAGACACCGCAAGTGTTGGTCTCAGATCGTTCTAATAAACAGGAGACGGTTTAGAAACATGAAGGAATCTCACCTGAAAATTAAATGTTTCACCGTAACAAAGTAATCGCTACCAAGTCAGGAATGACTGGCTGAAGCCAAATGCGTAAAAAGCAATTAAAAATGAAGCGAAATCAAAAATGACCTTATTATCAGCAATTGCTGATCAAACGAAGAGGGAAAAAGTTTAAAAAATGTCGACAGCAAGGTCAAAAACTTAGGGAGTGAATTTTTCCGTGCTGCCCACTGATACATTTTTAATCGCTTGTGCAATTTTCATATAATGTTACATACTACCATACTAGCATTAAATTTTTTTCCTTCTGATTTAAAATTAAACATTAGGTAATAACTTTCCAGATTAACAGCAACTACAATTACGTAAAAATATATAAAGAATAAATAATAGAGCTATCATCGATCTGGCAAATTTTCTGCTGGTTTGTCGAATAAGCGAATATTTCACACAACAGTCAGTCGGAACGGCTATCTTGTACGATATGGAGATAAGAATAAGACACAATTTACTCTGCACACTGGCAACACTGGCTTGAGCAGCAAATAGGCACGCGCATAAAACATTAAAGAAAGCAAGTCACTAAGCTAAACAGAACCCTACAACACCGCAAACCCGCTTAGTCACTTGAGGAATATAACATTAGTCATATCTGGAAACCTAGTCATTAAGCATTCAGGAACACGAACCCGCTTTCAGTCAGTTAAGGAATATAACATTAGTCATATGTGGAAACGTCTTCACTAATCATTCAGGAATATGAATTAAGTATGTCTGTTATATCGATATTACATCCCACTTACAACAACGGAATAGCCCTAAACCATTGGCATGTTACTTATGCCCAATCAGATCAGACCAAAGTTTATCAGAACACCTGTACGCATACCCCGGTTCAACTAAAGTACTGGTAAACATTCAATTTTGCTCATTAAGACACTCATTAAGTGGAGATGAACTTTTCAGACGACTTTGAATTTGGTTCATTGCTGCTTTAACATGACCACAAAGATACCTTTTTCCAAGCACACCAAGTAGGTAAGACGGGACGAATAATGGAAGCAACGGTGCAGTAAACTGTGGTTTGGTTTTTACTTTAGACACTTTAAATTTTAAAACCATAGGATCGTAAAAAGGCATTCTCTTAAACAAAGAATTTACCTGACTGTTTCAGGGCAGTCGAATCATAAAATGCTAACAATTCGCTGGTTGATGAATTATAGGCAGCATGCTGTTCTAGTGAATTTATGGTACTGAATGTGAGAGCTGGCTTGATGTTTGACGTTTATGCTTTACGACAGGCAGTACTATACCTCGACTAATGAGAATTCTGTTTCAAAAATTAATACAAACTCTAAAACATCAGTAACAATATCGGTTTGATCCATCGACGTTCAACACTTCCTCTGTGGGTCGTTCTTTCAGTTCCTTTTTGCCACGATGATCGTTGCGAGACAGAAGCAAAAACGTCAATCTTCTTGAACGGATAGCAAACAATCTTTTGTTGTCTCGTACTACTTGAAAATAGCTGCCGTATATAAGTGGGAATGAACTGAGCCAGGTGTCCAATTAATCATGTTCTGAGAACTTTCACTGTGGTTCAGTGCCTGATTACCGTGCTGATTTGGAATACTCCAAATCAAACAAAAGCAATCTAAATAAGGAATGTAAAAAATAATACGCTGCGGACAATATATAATATCTAGTAATACTGTAGAGATGAACATAACTAGGAACAGTACGAGGCTGGATAGATCACTAATTGCAAAATCCCAACGGTCAAAAAGTAACAAGTCGGAATCGACGAGAACTGAACAGAAGTTTGGATACCAAGCGAAATGAATCGCTACCTCTTGTACCTTACAGGAGTTCCGAGAGTGAGCTGATAACATGAAATGAACGTAGATGAAGCTCTGTAATTAAAAACACACCGAATATTGTGATCTGGATGAATGAACCAGTCACAAATACAATGTAACTGGCGTAGGACAGCAGAAGTACACATGATTACTTAGAAATGAATATTATATTCATTACAGCTGCCCAATCAAATTTTTATACGGTTATAATTAAGAAGTATCGTTGCGAAAAGGACTTCTAAATAATAGGAGTAAAATCTTTCACACTAATATCTTGAAACTTCGATTATCAGCAGAGTTTGATAAACATATCATATTTGTTTATTTTGTCATCATCCTCTGCTGCATGAAGCCACATCTTGCTCAAGATTTCCCATGTCCGGTCATCACTTCATATGGCGGATTTCGTGGTCAAACGTTGTTATAACCGCAGACTTTGACCTCTCACTCTATTTTATCACTTGCGATAAACGGTATTTTAAAACTTAAAATAGAAAATAAATTTTCAATCAACTGCAAAACAAACTACAACGATTTCCTGTGCATTTATGAATGTGCATAATCACGATCTATACGTTGAATGAAAAAAATTTTGCTTCACCTGCCTGCAGATGGGGCAGCGGACGACTCCGGGCGGAGGTTTAGCGTCTACCTTTTCGCCAGGCTCCAGTTCTTGATCCAACTGACAGTACACCACTGTTTCTCTGTCTTTCCAACCCTCGAGCATTGCAACGATACAGTCTTCACAAAACGCATGGAGACAGTTCAACAAACGAGGCTGAAACAGACATGTTCAAGCAGAACTACTGATCTCAGAGACACAATTCATCAAGAATAAACGTTTATGTTCTTTCTAATGGTCGGCAGCAACAAGTCGCGAAACACTGGCCCTCAGGATGGGCAGCAAAAATTTTTACACAGATCGAACTTAAATCTGCTGATATCCAACTACTGCTTTAGCTTCCATTTTATACACATTTTCTTTCGTATTTGTTGTATGAATACAAATGAACAACAAATTATTCAAACTATCAAACAAGTCACTGACAAATTTTAGACGGTGCAGAAGAAGCTACGAGCCGGGATACAAGTTAACTTTGGGCAGTATTTTGTTCCAACTGTTCTTAAGCGTAAATGATGTCCAAGGAATGGCTAGATCGAATGACCGCAAATTCGTTATCAAACAAAAATTCGCACGACGGTTCCGGACACTTCCACCAAAGCTGTTAATGGGTATTTTTGATTGAAAATTCTGTCCGTGAGAGACCTGGAAGTAGTGCAGAAGCGCACTCTAGCCCTTTCAGACTGTGGTGATGCTACCAACCAATCCGTAGCAACATCAAGCCGTTGCCAAAAGCTGACCAAGTACTATTCTGTATTTCGCTGACTCCACTGAGGTAATTTAGCAACACTTCATGAACAAAATTTCGAATGACAACTTGCATAAAAACGTTTTAGAAAGATAGCATGACCAGATATATAATAATTTGTTAGTGCGTTTGTGGTCATACTGAAAGACAGCGTAAAACAGGATTTAATTATACCTTCTGGCTCTGAAACAATCGATTGCTGTAAACGACCTGCCACATTTACGAATCTTCAGCACCAAACTACATTGACAAAGGGCCATGAGACACCGGTCGAAACGTCTGTATTGGTCAGTCATTGGACTGACCGCAGTTTCTTCTGTAAGACCGTGTTTTACGCCATTTCCGTCAGCGAAACCACCTATTTGCTTTGGCTTTTCAGAAAAAGAGAAGGTGGACGAAAGGATTCCTCTCCAAAAAAGACCTCTTATGTCAAAAGATACATTTCAGTGTAGCCATTCTGCATTCCATACAATCTACAGTTACTGAGTAAAGTTACCAGAACAGAATTACACTTAGTCATCGGCCATGTTCTGCGACATGTTTAACGGAACTCCGTATTAAATGCATCTACCTACCTATGTTTCGATCTTACAAGTAAATCTCAAGGCCGTCTGAAATTTCAGAATGTTTCAAAGGAATACCATCAAAATAATACGGAGTAAAATTCAGCAGAACCTCCAGCTAACGCTTTCATCTAGTTTGGAAATGAGGAAAATTTTCAATATTCGATCATTCTTTCATGCATAATAATACTAATGGAACTTCCATCTGAATTATCTATTGTCTGACAGTCAATCCTGACTCCGCACTTAAGGGGTGAGGACTTTACGTATGCCATCCATCCAGAATATAGATGAAATACCTGCAGCTCGCTTTTAGGTTGGGAACCCAATAAAAAAATCTGTCTATCATCTTCCTGCAGGAGGCCAACATCGAACGTGGTAAGACATCCTTCAGAGAGGTCTGCAATCGTGCGGTTTGAATTTTCTTTGCTGAAACAATGTAAAGTATCTCGAAACATGTTAATCCGCTCGCCGTCTTATCGATAATATAAACTGTCAGATATCACAAATCTGGGTTACTCTGATGTTTCAGCTCCGTTAACCAAAACGATGACAAAACAACCACGTGGATATCACACCTTTAAGCACCGCACCCTAACCCCTTCATCAATGCGGTAGACAGATCAAATCTGAAATGAGGTCAGTTGATATAAAGAACTGTTTCTTCATGATTAGATACGAACCTGGAAAATCTGTTTCGGCTACAACTGAGGCCCAGAAGGCTACGAATTCTGGGATCACTGGCGAAGTGGATAAGCAATTTTACTTTGTACTCTTTAGGTATTTTAAACGGTTGAAACTCCGCCATGGCCGGTCCCAAGCCCGGATGAGAAAGGAGGAGGGTTGGAGACTGTGGCAAGTCTCCGT